GCCCTTTTCCTCCTCGGGGTTTGTCACGTGGACGATAAGGGTTGGTTTATAGGTGTGTGGCTATCTGCAAGTCCTGACCCTGGCAGAAGCGCATGGGGGGCAGCATGGTGGGGCACTTGCAGATGCCTCCCCTGCATCCCTACCTCCCCCAGTAGCTGGAGCCCTCATCCCACCTCACACCACTGCCCCTGTGGGGTGAGCTCACCAACTTCCACTTACTCCACATTATTCATATTCTTGAATTCCCAAATCCAATGACTGAAGAATATACCAAGTTCAAACTATTCCACATGTAATTGAGAAGACATGCGTTCTAGTAATACTATTTTATGAACTTATTAGATCCAGTTGGTTTACTGCACTGTTCAAATTTCCCGTTACATTATACTGTGCCTTGTTTTTTGACATGGAGTCTTGCCACACTGTCCAGTAACTGGAAGTACTATGTGTGCTTCCATGCTCAGCTCCTGCTTTGCACACTGGCAACAAAGAATTTGAGTCTTCAAGTATTATTGCCTAATCACCTACCTCTCCCATTCTGTCCATTTTACTCCATGTAGTTTGGAGCTCTGTGGTTTGGGATTCTTATCTTTATAAAATACCCCTTTATTTCTAGTAATTTTTAAAAAACATTTTATTATTTTTATGTGTATGAGTGTATTGCCTGCATACAGGTAAGTGCACCCATGTCATGCAAAGCCCGTGAAGACAGAAGAGGCCATCAGATCCCCTGGAACTGGAGTTACAGACAGTTGTTAGCTGCCATGCAGGTGCTGGGATTTGAACCCAGTCTTCTGCAAGACCAACCAGTATTCTTAACTGCTGAGCCAATCTCTCCAGCCCTATTTCTAGTAATATTTTTAAGCCCATGCTCTGGTGCTAGAGATAGCTTAGTGGTTCATAGCACTGGCTGCTCTTCCAGGACCAGGGTTTGGTTCCCAGCACCCATATGGTGGCTAATAACCACCCATAACTCTAGTTCCAAGGGATCCAATGCCCTCTTCTGGCATCTACAAGCATTGCACACACAGGCGCACAACACACATGAAAGCAAAACTCATCAAATAAAACTTTTTAAAAGCCCATCCATGGTGTTAGATTTGCATAGCCATTTATAACTGTATAACAGCCTTCCATCCTTTTTCTGTCAACCTATTTGTATCTTTCCATCTTAAACAGTTTATACTTTATCCAGCCTCAATCTTTCTTCAGTTAGGGTTTCACTATGTAGCCTGAGCTGGTCTTGGGCTGCCAATCCTCCTGCCTCTGCTTCAAGTGCTGGGATTACAGGCATGCTCCATCCCTAATCTGTCTCTTTTGATTGGACTGCTTAATACGTTTTAGTGTGATTGATCTCACTATTGGATTTTTCTGACTTTTTTGTTTCCCAAGTAGAAAAGTAGAGGGGGTAACAAGTCATATCAAATAATACCTCAGTTTTTTGTGCATCTAAATCAAATAGCCAGAAATAAAAAGTTTACACCATGGAAATATTTTTAATGAGAATCTCCTTGTGATTTTTAATTTATGAAATGATTACAAATGAAGCATAGTACTGGGAAATATGTAAAATCCATATGCTTGACTTGTATTACCATTTGTTCTCACTGTCCACAAAGAACATTAATATTTTCCTTTTTTGGAGCGTCAACTTTGGCTCACACATACTCAGTGTGTTATGATTAAAAAGAAAACAAATACTGTACCAGACTTTTTTTTTTTTTTTGTCTCAAAATAGTGAATATTTGGCAAGCACTTTTTGTTGCAAGATAACCTTTAAGTTGGAAATGACAGAGCAGTAAGTCATTACAGTTCCTTCATAATTAAACCAATAAATGCTAAGCAAAGACAAAAACCAATTATCTATTTCTTTGCAGTTTTCAAGTTGATAAACAATCTCAATCTATATATGTAACAATTTTAACAACCATGCCCTCACCTTTCACTGTTTAAGGAGACACTCATTTCAGTGGGGGGGGGGGGGGGCAGAGACCAACCCTGGTGTCATTTACCCTTGTTTTATGAGACAGTGTCTCTTGCTTGGGCTGAAGTTCCCTAACTAGGGTAGGCTATCTGGCCCACCAGTCCCAAGGAGCCCCCTCTCTGCCTTCCCAGCAGGATTACAAGCACACCTCACCATACTTGGTATTTTTACGCAAGTTCCAGGGATCAAACTCAGGTCCCTTGTACTTGGCATGGTAACTTCTCTGACTGAGAAAACACTACTTTTCAATAAACATGAGACAGAAAACCCAAAAGGAAACAGCATCATTTAAAAATTCCAGTAAATCTTTTTCATCTAATAAGCATGGATACTCTCTGTAGTGAGACACTTTTTCCACATTTACCTGTAAAATATACCATGTTTTACTTTGTGCTTGGGGATGCCTTGGATTACTGCCAGACATCTTCCCCTATTGCCCTCCACCTGGTTTTTTGACACAAGGTCTCCCACTGAACCTGGAACTGTTTCAGCTACACTGGCTGCCAGTGAGCCTCCAGGATCTTCCTGCCTACATCCTCCCCCAGAACTGGGGTTACAGGTGTGTGCCCTTACACCTGGCTTTTATGTGGGTGCTGACTCTGAACTCAGGTCCTTATGCTTGTGTAGCAAACACTTTACTCACGGAAGCATCTCTCCAGTCAAGTTTTATTTTTGGGGGCTAAGAATTCACATTTTTGTGTGTAAACTTGGAGATGTTTGAAGACAAAGCAAAGTATAAATGGGCAGGTTTTTATGCTAATTTTGTCAAAACAAGCAATTACTTTCAAATTTTAAATAGAGTCTTTTAAAAGATTTATTTTTATGTGTTTGAATATGTATCAGCATGGATTTAAAGTGCACCATATCCATGCCTGGTGCCTAAGGAGGCCAAAAGAGGGTGTTAGATCCCCTGTAACTGTTAGAAGATTGTGAACTGCTATGTGGGTGCTAGGAACCAAACCATTCTCCTCTGCAAGAGCAGCAAGTGCTCGTAACTGCTGGACCACTTCTCCAGCCCCTGAATCAACTGATCTTTAGTGGCATTACAAAACTCTTGTACTCTACATACAGTTAATTGCTGGCTTAACTGATCTTGCACATTCTTGGTCTTTCATAATTTTCTCCAAAAAATTTCCCTACCAAATTATTTTTCAACCAACTTGCCATTAATTTTTCTTTTTCCTGGTACAGTAATACAGGCCCTTTGGTGCTCAGCACTGAAAAGCATGTATTACTCTTGCAGAGGACCTGGTTCAGTTCCCAACACACATCAGGTGGCTCACAACTACCTGCAATTCCAGCTCCAGGGGATCTGACCATCCTCTGGCCTCTGCAGGTACACACACAGCCTTTTAAAAGAAATTTTTATTTTTTAAAAGGTCAAATTTCATAAATAACAAAATGTATCTTATGATGTCGGTCACACTTGTCAAGATTTTAGAGTTCAAAAGCAACCACGTGGCTAAGTTACCATCTTGAACACAAAGCTAATCTCTCAACGTTTCAGAGAAGAAATGGAATTTAAAATTCTCAGATCTCTTCAATCTGCTAAGGGCTGGTCCGTCTGTCAATCAACCTTTTATTTTTTGATATTTTGTTTTTAATTATGTGTGTGTCTATACTCACTAACTGGAAAGCTCTCTTCAGCTCATCATCTCTCAAAAGAACAGCACCGAAGCCAGGAAATAGTTGGACATCAGTCTTACTCTGTCTATCCTCCAAGTGCTGCTTACAGCAACTTTTCCAGAATAACAATCTAGTGATGCCACTCCCATTCAAACCTTGGGCAGCTCTTTACACCACCAGAGGAGGAGGGTCAAACTTCATCATGTGACTCAAGTTCCAAGGTTCCAAAGGCAGCAGCTTTGTCCATCCATCAAGTTCCAGCCACTCCACTGGTACACTCTGTACCCATGGACCTGCATCATGTTCCAAATCTAGCCCATCATTGCATAGACATTCCATAAAGCCTTTTAATATATTCATCTGGGAAACAAGTTCTTAGTCCTTTAAAATATAGTCCCTGGGTTCTCAATCTGTAAGGACTGTTTGGCATTTGTTACACTAGGTTATAATGATTAACTAGGCACAGAACTTTTACCAAGCTAAGCACAGCAATTCAAAATGAGTAACAATCAATGCAACCAAGAAAACAGGCTTAGCCCCCCAAATTCAATCAAGATGGATTAGCAACATGGACTCCCTCCCTTCCACTCACTGAATCTGAGTCCGATGGCTTACATTCACTTTGTTAGCAGGCTGGAAAACAGCAGCAGTATGTGCTACTGAGGTCTGCCTCGGGGCATGACAGAGAAAGCCCATTTCTCCCACAGGCCCAAGCAAGCAGCACTGGGGTGGTAGACTATAGAATGATTTGAAGTTTGCAGTTCAGAGAAAATGAGAAGACTGGCACCTCCTTACTCATTTCATTAAAAAAGTTGACTGTGCCAAAGAGACCGGAGAAACAATTTTGAAGTGCCTAGAATCCAATTTTCCCTCTTCCTAGGTACAGACTAGTTGGTTACATTCATTTTGAATGAACAGACTTAGAATATTATTTGGCACAAATGTACTTACAGAAACAGTCCTCAAATCCTCCAAAAATTCTATTAAGAGCTCTCTTTTCCAAGATTCTTCTAACATATATTGGGCTAAAATGATCTCTGCAGTGCTTTTCTTAAAATGAACTTAAATTTAGATTCCTAAATAATCAAAAGGGGACTCTTTCATATCTACTCTTTCGTATAGTAACACTGTTACCTAAAATCTGAAAATGTTATGCTAAACGTATTTTCAGCTCATGATTCTTTAGATATAACTAAACCTCGCTTCTCCCCAATTATCATCATTAACGAAAACAAGCCCCAGCTAATCAATGCTGTCAGCTGCTTAGCCCTCAGGCAGCATCCTAGCAGCCTTTCTCATTACCCTTATCACCCCCCCATAAATACCCCTATCATAACTGTATTGTTCCAAAGAACAGTAACTAGAATTCATAAATCAGCAGCACACATACTTAATTTTTTACATTTATTTTTAACAAATATATAGAAGACTTGTCATACAGAGGCCAAGTAACAAATTAGGTTTAGGTAGCACATGTTTAAGAAACTAATGCCTCAGCAGACATTTTCTCTAATTAGCCATTTAATCTAAAAATGTTTTCTAGCACATATATAAAAACTATGTTATGGGAGCAGTCCTCCCTCTTTTTATTTTATTATTTTTGTAATTGTTTGTTTTTTGAGACAGGGTCTTTCTGTTGCCCCAGCTGGCCTAGAACTCAATATGTAGACCAGGCTGGCTTTGATCTCAAGAGATGCACCGTCTCTGCCTCTGCCTCCAGAGTGCTGGGATCAAAGGCATGCACCACCAGACCCTCCCTTACTTTTTAAGAGGGGAGCTTGGAAGTCATGACCCCTCCGCCTCATTCTCCTGATATGTGTGTGCATCGACATCTCCTCGCTGAGAAGTACTTTCTAAAAAAAGTAATCAATTTTTTTGTTTTTTTTTAAAACCATAAGCCCACATTTGAAGACTGGGGAAATCACACCTTTTACAGGTCATATATGCAACAAAATTTATATATGTAACACATTAAGACCGTTAATAATTAGTATAACTCCAACACAATGTTTGCTACTATATTTGAAAGCATTTATTTAAAATATGTCAATCTCCTTCCAAAACACGGAAGACAGGTGAGGCCATTTCTTATGAGGTATATGGCAACAACAACAAAAAAAGTCCTAAATGCAAAAGGACCATAGGGTACCTAAATACAAAACTGAACTTTGGCAATGAGTGTTATACAGAGTAACACAGCCAATGGGAAAGACTCTTAGTGCTTCGCATTAGAGTGGTCATGTCCATACTTGCTCCTCCCTGGAAGGGTGAGCTGTAACCCTGCCCCAGAAGCCTCAGAATTGTCAAATGTGGGCCTGTGGGCTAACATTTGTTTTTTTCTGAAACCTCAGTACTACAGCTGTACAAATTACACTTTAAAATATTTGAAACAGATATTGAATTTATTGGTTGGCTATGAGTAGGAAAATACATTGGTAAGGAAAAAGAGACCCTGTATATAAATATAATACTAGCTAGTTACAATTTGACCAAGAAGATTCCACTGAAAAGAACAGTAAAAGCCCTTGCTACCACCAGTCCATATGGTATAAATTCAGTTTCTCATTACCCTTATCAAAGAGCTGCCTAGGCAAATGTGACATTCTTTGAACTTAGTGCAGATAATGTGCTGGGTTTTGTTACATGAATGGTAAACAAGAGTTAGTCCAGTGCATTACACATATAATGTACTGTGAATAAAGACTACTCTATTTCAGACACTACATCAACATACCAGTTTTTAAAATTATGTAACCAAAGGGGCAAAGTAAGCATCTTAAAATACTGCCTGTGCCTGGGGGACACTGGCTTGTGTTCTGAGGTCCTGCCAATACCTATAACTGGAATTCTGCTTCTTCCCTCCACTCCTACTCTTTGAGACAGGGTCTCATTATTGAGCCCCAGCTGGTGGCCTGGAACTTGCATGTAGTCCAGGCTGGCCCTGAACTCATAGAGATCCCCTGCCTCTAGCTCCCAAGTGCCAGGATTAAGTGAGCCACCACACCCAGCTGGTACTGGATATTCTGACTCATTCAAAGACAAATGCCTGAAATGATCTTGCCTAGGCTGGCTTCATCCTATAAAATGACTACCAAACCTGAAAGTCATGATGGAAACTAATTCTGTAACTTTAGTAAAAAAGCGGAACTCCATAACTTGAACATACTATTGAAAAACTGAATCTTAGAAGAGACTTGAAATTATAATTTAAACATTTAGAAGTGCATTCTACCCAATTTAATTATATCTTTAGGTTTCAAAGTGCTAATACAAAGTAAGTTTTCCTGGTAATCACCAAATCAAAGATACAAGCAAAACATTTCTTGGAGATGTTCTTTGACTATGTTCTGGGACTATTAAAGTTGCAATCAACAATTTAGTTCTACAACTTCAGTTTAAATTATGCTATAAATTAATTTTGATGAACATTATTTAAATTCTCAAAGCATAAATAATTACCACCAATACTGTAAACTGTACTTCAAAAGATTTACAAGGAATTGAGTGCCTCCAATCTTCTCATCCTTAAAATAGGAAACAGACTCCAAATATTCTGTAAAACATTCCTAAAATGGATATTTATCCAGCAACAACACTGAAATTACATTATGGCAAAACATTACATATATTTATTACAGAATTCTTAAAAAATAATCTACATCATGAAAACAGACTATTTTCTGCTGTATTTAAGTGAGTATAGATTATTGGAAATTATTAAGGACACAAATTTTAAAACATAAAATCTTGTTTAACAAAAGTATCAGTCTATTTTGGTGTGATCATTTATTACCTATAGATTCAAAATATTTCTCCTTTGAAGGTTACAGTTGTAAATCTACACTCTTGGTTCAATTTTTCACTATCTAAACAAGGTGGAGAAGATGTTTAAACTGACCCACAGAATGTAGTATGCCCGAAAGAGGCAAAACTAGTATTTTCAAGACATAACAGGCAATTGCATCTTAATATGCTGCCTCCCAATTCAAATATACCGTAGACAACAACAAATACAGATGAAAACATTTTGTGTAAAGCTCAAACCTTTATCATCTAACAAGTGCACTCTAGTTCCAGCATCTATGAAAAGAATACATCTTCCGTTAACAAGTACAACATAAGTGCTCCTTCCCTGTCCTTACACAAAGCTATCTGGACCTGCGAGTCCACAATGTAGATCACAGGAAAAGTGGCTTCCTTAGTCTCATCAGTCCAGCCAGCTCCAGCTCACCCTCCCTGGAAATTGTCATGATGCACATTACCAACACAGTGTTTAAGAAAAATGAGTAAACACATATTCACACTTCACACACAAAGAGCAACAAAAACACTGTAAGAAGTCACGCACTGGTTCTATACCAACGTACTGATTATAAATTGGATGTGTTTGGTGTCAGCACAACTTAAACAAAGAGAAAAATAATCTACAAACAAACAAAAACCCACCATCACAATAAAGATTTACAAACAAACAAACAAAAAACTTAAAGGAAAAAGCAGGTCCAGGATAAATTCAAGATCAAGACCTTTCAGAGAACTTTTTAAAAAAAGAAAAAATTTTTTTCATTTATTTAAACAGTATGTAATTTTATTTCCTCTTTAAAAAAGCACAAACAATTAAATGTTTTCTCATAAAATTTTAAGTCATCCAGAATGACTGAGTCTCTGTATAAAAACTGTTAATAACATTCAACAATTCTTTTAATGCTCCATGGCATCCTTTTGCTCCCCTGCCTGCAGATGAAACAAAAGCAGCTGGACTGGGTTCTCTCCGAGGTTCATCTGATTTGTAAAGAGAACCAGTGACCAAGAACAGAACACACCAGTTAACTCTGTGAAGCTAAAGGTGACTTTACCTCTAAGCTACTAATGGCACTATGGGCAAAATACAGGGTATGGTATAACTTTCATCTTGGCTGACACATTAAAATTAGTCACTTTAAAAATGATCTGAACAATTGTCTTAGGAACCGGTTTTGAAATGCATCTAATTTATAGTGCTTCAAAAATGGAAAATTATTCTTCTTAAAAAAAGGAATGATTTTAAAAATGTAAGAGAGTAAGGAATGCACATGATAGTCATATTCTGGGTGACAAGCGGCACTGTGCAACAACACAAGAAGCAGTGCTCAGGGCTGGTGCGCAGAGCCCCAGGACTCGATGAACATGTTCCAAAATGTGCCACCAACAGGGAAAGCCACAGCTCATAAAAAAGCATCTTCATAAAATTCTCACAAATGTTACAGTTTTTAAAAAATATAAAAGATGCACAGATTTTCTCTGCATGCACAGGCAGTGCTTGGTGAGAACAAATTGAGGCAGGCACAGTGGAGAAAGGACAGAGGGTATCTCAGAAAGGAGTTAAGAAGCTGTTCCTAAGCAGCTGCAATTTTTTAACTTAAAAAAGTTAAAGATTTAAAAATACCACAATGTACATATATTAACTATCATATTCAGTCCATAAATGCCTACAGATCAGCTTACCTGTCCTGGTAGATAGTTTTCATAAAAATTCAGGAATTCATACATAAGTTGCTTCTGGTCCAAGAAAATGTCCCAAGGTCTAAGACTCAGATTTAAAGAGTAATGTTCTCAATTTAAAAATAAAGTAGTACAAAAGGGCCAACAAAACCCTAACAGTGCAAATCATTGCAGAGAAAGTCTGTTGCAACCTTTTTACCAGCTGGCCTTCAGAACATAGGACATGGGTTAAAAAAAAATAGCCTTAGTTTATAATACAACTGTTTTCAAATTTGATTTTTTAGTACAAAATTTCATAAATCAGGTCTTCTATGGATCATATACAATCATAAAGGCTAAATTCAAATTCTACATTTTACAAACAAGTCTGAAAAAGAGGGAGTAAAGCCTGGAAGAATGGTCTCTGGATGTTATTACTGGCCTCAAAAAAGTAGTGCTACAGATTTCTGTGTAGACAGAATATGCTGCTCAAACATTTTCCTATTTCAAGGCATGAAAATATTATACTGGAGAGAAGAAACAGGAAAATTACTTGTAACAAATTAAAGATGGGTGTGAGCACACCAATCCCTGTCTAGCAGTGTATAAAGATACTGCATTCAGAATTTGCTGTTGCTAGCACCTGGCTTTCACACAAGAACCTCACATCAACTATCAGACTGAAAATTCAAATCCTCATTGAGAAAACCCCCAGTGGCCATACCTCACTCCTCTATATTCAGATCGTCACAAGTTTACAAGTAAAAGCAAAACCAAGGTCCTCTGAAGATCCTGGACTACCTCCTGCCGGAAGGGTGAATGCCATTAACTTGGGGCAGGAGAGGCAGTAAGAGCTCCAATTGTGCAAACAGAGAGAAGTGGTCGGAGGGAATCAGTGGGTGTGGGCAGCCGCTGATGTTATTCTCCACTAGCCAGTGGTGGTCCAGAGGCCCCAGGATGGCTAATGTGTTCAGCTGAGGTTTAGAGTAGAAGATGTAGTCAATTATACCCTGCAAACAACAATAAAAAGGGTAAGGGCCCATGTAAGAGAACACCAAAACACTGTTTTCAGGACATCCTTCATCATATCTGGCAAAAAAAAGACATTTACTAGCTTTCAGAAGAAGCAGTACTACAAAAACCAAATGCTCAATCCCCTGCACCAAAAAGGGCAACAAAATACAGTCAACAAATTACTCCATCAATGTTCAACTCAACAGAATGAAACATTCTTATCTGGATCTTTACCAAATCTTAAGCCCTGAACAACCTTCCATGATACCGCCTGACTCTTTCCTAACTTATTTTGTGCCATTTTCCCTTGCTCACTACCATAATGCTATGCTAGACTTTGGGGGACAAAGGCAGTTTGTACACTAGACTAAATTCTTTTCTATGACTTAGAGACATAAACACTTTCCTCTTCCTGTCACTTCGTAAATTTCTTTTCAACTGTCAAACCTATAACCATTTCCTAAAGACTTTTTAAAAGCACTATGCTCACCCCTGTAACACCTCTGGGGTGGTTTGAATGAGAATGTCCCCATACTTGGCCCCAGCTAGTGGCACTGTTTGTGGAGGTTTAGGAGGCTCAGTCTTGCTGGAGGAAGCATGTCATTGGGGACAGGCTTTGAGAGCTCAAAGCCTCATCCCAGTTCCAGTGTCTTTCTCCTTACTTCCTGTGCATGCTTGTTTGCTCCAGTTGCCACGGCTCCCCACCATAACAGACTCTTATCCCTCCAGAACCATAAGCCCAATAAACTCTTCCTTCTCTAAGTTGCTTTGGCCATGGTGTTTTATCATAGCAAAAGAAAAGTAACTAATACAGCCTCTAGCCACTAATTTTTTCCCCCGGTTAATTTCTATCCTTAGTTGTAAGGACATACCTGTGTGGTTGGAACAACTATAATCTTACTGAATGTCCTCCAAAGATCTACATGTTAAAGGCTCCCCCGCCCCCCAGGGTGGAGCCACTGGGAGATGCCAAGGACCCTCAGGAGGTGGGGCGTTATGGGAAGTACTTAGGTCAATGGAAATACATCCCTGAGAAGGGGATTATAGGCCCTCAGCCCCTCCTCTTCTTTTCTGTGTTTGCTTTCTGGCTACTGAGGTGAGCAATATGTTCCATCACATACTCCTACCATGATGTACTGCCCTAGCAGAAAGGCCCAAAGCTGTAAGACAACTTGCTCCAGAACCTCCAAAACTGTTGAGTCAAAAATAAACCTTTTCTTTGAATAAAACAGTCACTGACATTTTGTTACAGTATTAGGAAGCTATCTAATATAAGGTGTGCTTAAAGCCAAGTGTGGTGACATATGCCTGTGAGGCTATCATATGAGAGGCAAGGAAGAAGATTGAGAATCTGAGGCAAGTGTGGTCCAGGTAGTGTGACCCTGTCTAAAAAACACAAACAGCCAGGCGTAGGGTGGTGCACACCTTTAATCCCCGCACTTGGGAGGCAGAGGCAGGCAGATCTGAGTTCAAGGCCAGCGTGGTCTACACAGTGAGTTCCAGGCTAGCCAGAGCTATGGGGAGATCCTGTCTCAAAAAGACTTAAAAAACAAAACAAAAACCACAAACAAAAAGTCTTTCTCATTGTATCACAGCTGCATTAGCATAGGGCTGTGTCTGCCTGTGCACCAGGGCATAACACCTAGCACACAGGTTTTGCCACTATCTTCCACTGACTTTTTCATCCTCTTCTATCATGTGTTTTTGGTCAAAGACACTGATGCATACCCCCAAGTGCCTACATCTGACACCAAACTAGGTAACTGCAGTATTTCATACCCAGCTTTTAGTAATCAACATCGAAGAAAGCCACAAAAGGTGAAGCCTAACCAAGGATTGCTTTACTACCATTATTTCACCTGACTTCTCATTCTGGAGAACATTCTACTAGGTTATCTAAAAAGCAAATGTGCAACATCAACCATGTGGAACTCTACAGACCAGCAATGAGAGCACTGCTGCCAATGAATGAAGGTCACGTGACTGCAGTCAGCGCACACACCAATATTCGAAAGACTTACTGAAGTTACAAGATTTGTTGATAAAATGGAGGTTTTCAAAGTTTACAGATCTTAAGACACACCTTGAAATCAAATGTGTAATTTGTGTAAGGCATCAGGCCATTCTCATAGGCACTCTTCAACTTGAAACCATGAGTGATTCTTCCATTGGTCATTCCATTCTTCCCATTACAGCTGAAATTTGTAAGACTTTCATTATATCTCAGTTCCTTAAAGTCTTTATGATTTGTTTCTACTCCGCCGGTGCTCAAATATTCTACAACACCTATATGAAAAGGAATGTACTTTTATATGTCGAGGACACGCTATAGAAAACAAAATATAACTTTAAAAATCACGTTGTAATAGTGTAAAGCCACAAAGATTCCTATTCTCTAAAATGTTTTTCTTAATTAGCTATAATTTTCCCATATTCTTTATATAATTATAATCATAGTACAGCAAATATTTTACATTCTGGTTTATTTAAAGCTATATCTGACAAACAGACGTGTTGTCCCAAATCCTTCCACAGTTGTATAAACAGCTGGCTGGAGTAAGTTAAATTAGACTAACTCCTTTAAAAAACAAAAAAAAAAGCAGTGGCTGCTCATGCAGAGGACCTGGGTTCAGTTCTCAGCACCTACATTGTGGTTAACAACTGTAACTCCTGTTCCAGGGGGTCTGACAGCCCTCTTCTGGCCTCTGCAGGTACTGCACTACAGGAGTACACTTTACATACATGCAGGCAAAACATTCACACTCATAAAAATAATTTTTTAAAAAAACAAACAAAAAACATTACAGGGCTGGTGAGATGGCTCAGCAGGAAAAAGTGCTTACCCTGAAAGCCTGATGACCTCAACTCAGTCTCCAGAACCCATGTAAACGTAGAAGGAGAGAACAACTCCAAGTTGTCCTCTGACCTCCACACTTGAACCTTGACACACACGTTTACACACACTTTTTCACACACACACACACACACACACACACACACAAACACACAGTTTCTTTAAAAAATACATCTCAAAATATTTCTAAGTCACAAAGTACCCATTCTGTATAAAATAGGACTTCTCTCACCCGAGTCTGGCAAAGAATTCAGATCTGCACACAGCACAAGTGGAATAGCTCCACATTCTCCCAGTACACTGGATTTGGGGCTTCGAGAGGCTTTATCAATAATATTTTTCACTTCTGAGAGGAACATCATAGTTTGTACCAACTTCACATCAGAGTATTCAGGGTCCCAATGCATATGAGCATTAGCCACAAGAATAAGTTGTTTTTCTGTTCCAAGATGTGGTTTTCCAGCTATATTAGATAAAAAGAAAACAAACTGTCCATCAGCCTACAGCATCTGAAAGCAATTTCCTATCAATCATGGAAATCCGTCGTATAAATGGAGCTTGTACCTTAACTTCTAGTTGATGGTTTTAGTCCTGAAGAACTCACTACTTGTACAGAGATGGCCTGTGACAGCTGTTTTCAGATGTCCTAAATCAACTCTCATTTGAATCTCAACTCTCTTAGACATACACTTTTTAACGGTCATTCATTCTCTGGGTTCACCCCCTCTACCACCCATAGCGCTGGAGATGGAGCCCACTGAGATGCATCCCCCAGTAAAGGGTTTTAACTTTCATCTTTTCCATCTCTAACTATCCTGAATTCTGATTCCTCAAGTGACACGTTTCAGTTTTCAGCAGTCACTATATATTTTTTAATTTTTAAAAAAGTGGCTCTCTTTCCCAAACTAAAAACCTTTAATATTGTTAGTTAGTCAGGAAGAGACATTAGCTTTACCAAATATCTTGCTGACAAGAAAGTGTGAAACGGATGGTGTCCTGGTCCCTCAGTGGTTGCTTCACATACTATTTATCACAATGTTTCAGATATTCTTTTTTTCTTTTCATGCTTTCTCAAGGTTTGTATTACCTTTCTGAGCAATGATTTCCCATTTTTTTAGCTTTGTGGTAGAGAAAAAGATGCATATTTTAGAAAAGAAATTCTCACTGAATTTCTACAGGTGTTGGACCAGACCATTAATACATAATGAGATTTCTGCTTTTGAGGCTGTCTAATTGAAACTACTGGATTTGGGGAGGGGACATCAATTTTATAGGGTGTGAAAAGGTTACTCACATGACATTTCAATCAATTCCTTTCGAAGTTCTAGTAGTACTGCAACTCCAATGTTATCTTTTGTCATGACTCTATTCAGCATAGCTTCAGACCCTTCTGAATTTGCCATTGCTAGCTGATTAAATTCTACAGTGTGTTTCTGAACCAAAGTAAATCTAAAACAAAACACAAATGTAAACTGGGAATAGCAAGATAGATATTTCTCACAAAGAACTATTTCTCACAAAGTTCTTTAATACATATAATGGTATTTAAATCACATTATGGAAAATCCTCAACATTTAGCACCAATTTCCCAAATCTATTTAAAGTTGTTTCCAGTCTGGTTTGGTTTGTTTTTGTCATGCTAAGGACTGAACCCAGGATCTTATGCATATTAGGCAAGTTCTCTACCACTGAGGTATAGTCCCAGACCTTAAAATTATTTTTTCATCGGTTACTGATACAAATAAGATCTTGAAATACCTTTATAACTTAATACGGTGTCATTGGGTTTAATGTTGGAATATTTCCTCTCACAACTTTTAAACAATTCTTTTCCAAAGTATAGGTCCCCCAGAAGGAACGCTGGCTACATAGTACTTCTATCAGCAACTGGAATTAAGGCCCTAACACACACCTGAAGAACAACAGCCCTTTCAGTGCCTCCAAAATAGGCTGTTTCTAATCATTAAATACAGGCTCTTTTACATTTTAAACAATAATACTGCTTTCTTAGGTAATACTATGCACTTCATTCTCTTAATTTGCCAATCAATTTCCACATCCTTGAACCCATCCTGCAAACACTGAAGACATTTTCCTTTAAAAACAGATGACATGGGCTTACTTTTCTATCTTGAAGAATATTGCGCAGCCATCAACATGTTTTCTCTCTTGCTCTGACATCGTCCTAGCTCGAGATTTAGGACTAAAGAATCCATTATAGCCACGTTCTTTCAGCTCTACCAGAAAAAAACTGTAATACTGTTCCGTTTCAACCTCCTGAAAAAAAATTGTAAACAGCAAAGTTATTTCAAAAAACAAACATTAGCCTTACACATTAACCCTGTTTATATGGCTTAAAATAACATTTTTTTTTCAACAGACTGAGCTATGGACTAAGGATTGTAACATCATTACCATGTAATTTATCTAAAACCAATTATAACACTTGACAGTCTGCAGTCTCTAGTTGTCAGTGCAATTCTTTGTAGTTTAGGAGTAAGAAAAGACACCTATACATGTATGTTTATGTCTTAGAACTAATGGAACAAGAATCATTCAAGGAGAAAGAATTTCAACTGTCATTGATTATAATTCCAGACCCATGAGGAGAAAGAAAACTAAGACTGCAAATTATTAAGAGTTGGGCTGAAAAACTCAAGTGACTGTGCATAAAGTCCAATCCTTTCCTCACTATGCCCTAATTATTCTGGTAACACTTGCTGGTAAAACAAAATTATATTCAGGCAATGACACAATTTTAGTAACTTTGCCACCTAATCTAAACACAGCATGCAGGGGACAGTGAGTATTTAGTGGATCCTGAAAGGTTTAAAACCTGGCTGAATTCATTTGTCTTATTCGGTAGCTATGCTGCCAGACAAGGCAGTTACTGCTCTCAGAACTCACTGAAAACAGCGAAGGCCAGTATTTTAAGAGCTGCTGAAGTTAGGATTTCAAATCTTTTAGTATAACACGTATTCTATTCTAATTGCTTCTTGTGTCAAGGTTTAGAGATTCATGCAACTTAAACAGTCTTCTGCACGACTTACCTGAAGACTTATAATATCGGCATTGCAGCTCAAGATTTCTTGAATGATGGCCTTTTTCCTGTAGTCCCAATTTAGTGCCCATGATGGACAATAGCCGTATAACTGCCGGGTCGCATATTTATCACAAAGAACATTATAGCACATGACAGAAAACAAGGCTGTAGGAAAGATAACTTTACTTATTCACACACATGGCAGAAAAAAAAAAAAAAAAAAGAAAAACCAACCATAATTATGTCAGTAATGGTCCTCACTAAGATGTTAGGTCTGACTTCAACTACTCAACACACAGTCACTGAAAAGCTACTACTATATGCCAGATCTGGGAACAGAAAGGAAGATCAAGTAATGAAAGGACAGATAGCTGAACCAACCCAAACACAATGTGTTAAATGAAAGGACAGATAGCCGAGCCAATTCAAATACAATGTGTTATCTACTACAGAAGCTGAAGAACAAGACTGTGAACCTCTTAAACAAGAGTCCTCATTTCTTCTATACCTCCAACTGTTAATGAAGGGTATAGAAACATGGAAGGCAGTTTCCTTAATAAGCATATCTAGTTCTTTTTTAAAAAATAATTTATTTTAATTTTATGTGTATGAGTGTATTGCCTGCATGTAAGTGCACCCATGTTGTGCAGTGCTCCAGGAGGTCAGAAGAGTTTGTGAGCTGCCTTGTGGGTGCTGGGAACCGTACCCTGGTCTTTTGCAAGAGCAGCCAGTGCTCTTAACTGCTGAGCCATCTCTCCAGCCCCATTTTCTTTCTTCTATACAACAACTACAGGCTAACTTGGAGATACACTGTGAGTTTAGCTCCCAAGCACTTTACGCACTAAAATAAAAGTATCACAACAAAGCAAACCACACAACTTTTTTGACTTCTTACTTAGTACATAAAATGTTTTTTATACTGTAATATATTAAATGTGTAACAGCATTGTTGTAAAACATACAGATTAAGAACTATCTCATTACTAAAAAACATTGAACTATTGGAAAAACAGTGATGACGGACAGACTTGACAGAGGGCTGCCACAGTAAACATCACAATCATCTATGAATCAAAATAATACAAAGTGCCATGAAACAAGACGGGCCTGCATGGCTAACCCATGCAGAAGGAGGGGAGCACCACACACCAAGTCCCATCGCACATCCTGGAGCTCCTAAACCACTTCACAAGATTTAGGTAAAGGAGGAGTCATAAGCTCAAACTTTCTCTCAAGTAATAAAGCTATCTTATGATTTTTGTAATGTCCAAGACGTTTGGAACACATTAGCATTTGGAAACGTCCAATGCAGAAAGGTTTTGGCTTATTTACCAAATGATCCCGACCGAGACTTTATGTAAGGTTCTCAGCAATGGCAGTGCTAATATTCTCCATGGCTAAAATCTTTGCTAAAGGGACAGGCTGTTAAGTGCGGTTACTTAGCTACATCCCTGGTCTACATCCCTAGATGCCAGAAGTACTCCCAGTTCTGACAATCAAAATCGTCTCCAGACATTGCCAAATGCCCGATAAAGGATAAAACTGCTCCTGGTTGAGAAGTGACACATTAGAATTTATTCTTTATTACCTCCCAAACCAAATCAACAATAAGAATTTTGCTTTACTGTTCTCTGTAACCTGAAGCATGCCAAGCACAGATTTAGGTTTATCAAGACCAGATCCAACTAACAGTTCCAGCCCAGCTTGGAGACCCAGCCTCAAAAAGAACAAATAAATAAACACATAAATAAATAGGGTTACTAACCAGTTGGCCTTGTTCTGTCTGGTTCTTGTAACATGATCCAAGATCTTGGAGGGGGTTGTTCTGTTGAAACTGGGTGAACACAGAAAACAGAATTAAGTGACATTCTTACATGTGTTCCTAATAAAAAAGTTTAAACAAATGACCACTTACTTCTTTTTGCAGTACCTGACAAATTATCAAGCAAATAGTTCAGTAGCTTCCTTGTTCCATCTGGTTCCAGACAGAGGTTTAATATATCCTGGGTAAGTGGATTTCCTGGAAATGTTTTTTTTTTAATAGTTAAGCTCAGTACTAAAAGTATTTCAACTTGGAAAAGCATATCAAAATTATTACCCTAACACCATGAAAATTTATGAGATACCTATTCTATAACAATGTTATAATTGGTAACAACTTACTATAGAAAAAAATCACTTTTGTTGGTTTTTCTTTTTTTGGGGGGGGGTGTCTTTTTTGAAACAGGGTCTCCCTTGTAGGCTCCAACTGGCCTGGAACCTGCTATACAGACAGGGCTAGACTCAATCTCACAGAAATGTGCCTGCCTCTGCCTCTTGTGTGCTGGGATTATAAAGGTATGCACTACCATGCCCATTTATATATATATGGGGCTAGAGAGGTGGCGCAGTGGTTAAGAGCTGATTGCTCTTGCAAAGGCCCAGGTTCAATTCCCAACACTCACATGGCAGCTAACAACCGTCTATAACTACAGTTACCAGGGATCCTACCCCTTCTTCTGACCTCCACAGGCATTGAACAACATGAGTGTACTTACACACATGCAGACAATATACTCATACACATAAAATAAAAACAATATTTTTTAAAATTATGCCATGTTTTTATTGATGGACTAATGTCAATATAGATGTGCCTCACCAATCTTTTTAATAACAGAGATGGCTGTAACAGTCAAAACTGAAACTAGGAGCTGGAGAGATGGCTCCACAGTGTAACACCAAGCACCGCTCTCCCAGAAGACACAAGTGTGGTTCCCAATATCCACATCTGGTAGCTCACAACTGCCTTTAACTGTAGCTCCAAGCAAGAGATCCAATGTCTCTGGACTCTGGGGATACCTGCTCGCCTGCCACCCCCCTTTCCTCATCATCAAATGTAAATGTTTTAACTGAAACTGGACTACAGTAGGGAGCTGTGAAGAGATTAAGAATGTGACAGAACTACAAGGAAAGAGAAACCAAACTACAAAAAGACATTTAATGGCCAACCTAAGTCATGCACTTAGATTTTTTAAATCCTACTGAAGGCTGGGCATAGTGGTGGCATGGTTTTAAATCCCAGTTCTCAGGAGGCAGGGGCAGGTGGATCTCTATGAGATAGAGGCCCATCTGGTCTACATAGAGTTCTAGGCCATCTGGAACTCTTCTACATCTACAGGGAGACCTCTCCTCAAAAACTAAAACAAAACAAAAAAACAAACAAAAGAAAGAATCCTACTGAATGAAACCAGAGGGCATATTTGGTTAAGCTGCTTAAGCATTAGTTAACACAATAAAGAAAAAAATTCTCGCCCTCTGGGGTATTTACAAGCCATCTGTAAATATAATGGCTTGTAAATAACCCAAATGAAAGTAAATTTTCCTCAAAGGGCTTTTTAAATGAAGAATGAAGCCTGACAGTGCAATGTAGCATTTTAACTAAAGGCATTCCAATCTACTATACGAGCAATGTGTGTAAGAAACAGCTCCATTTAAGAAAGACTAGTCTATAGAGGAAAGAAAAAAGACAAAATTGATTTTAATTATGCCAAAGAGAGATGTAAAGATAGGGTATTTAAGAATGACCACAGCTGAGGAAAAGTGGCCTTGTGAAAGACTCTATCCAAACCAGCAGTGATGGTCAAAGAAGAGGGTCTAACAGAAGACAACCCAGAATGTAAGTCCTACAAACAGCAGAAGTAACTACGGTGAAACTGTGGGTATTCTGCAAAGATGCTGAGAAAATGTCATAAAGAATGTCATAAAGAAACCTATTTTGTACACCAACTGAACATAACAAAAAGAAACAAAAGGAAGATGGATTATATAGATGGAAAACTGCCAGTTAAAGTACCTTTAAGATACCTTTCTGCTTTAAAATTCTGATTTCAATAATCAGAAAGGATAAAATGTGCTATGAGCACAAATGTATGTCTTTGCAAAAAGGTAAATTATGAAAATGTCGCTTTCTCTCATGTGTGGTTTTTACACCTGCCCACAGCTCTCACATCTCTACGAGATGCAATTACCAGAACCTTTGCTGAGCCTAACTTGAGAAAATTATGTCGAACAAAAATTTCTCAGTACCAGGTAATCAGTCCATTTCAACCAGTTCAACACTGATGCTATCATTTCATTACTTTCTAGTTAAAAAAAAAAAAAAATAGAGGAAGGCTGGCGATATAAAGCAGTCATAGAACATTTACTGAGCTGCATGGGTTTAATCTCCAGTACCATAGAATAAAAGCAGAAGTAACCACCAACTACTTAGATCTGTGATCTTCCTTTCTGAAACCTCACTGTATTAAAAACAATCCCCAAACACAAGCATCTATTTATAACTCTAGTAAATGCAGCTGAAGCTACAAGTTTGGGGCTCAGTGGTTAAGAGCACTGGTCGCTCTTCAAGAAGACTCAGGTTTGGTTCTCAGCACCCACATAGCAACTAACAACCACCTGGAGCTCCACTTCCAGGGAATGTGATGCCCTCTTCTGGCCTCTGCAGGCACTACATACATAATGCACTTACATAAATGCAAGCACACTCCTACAGATAAAAGTAAATAAATAAAAAAAATGTAAGATGTAACTAAAGCCCAGTAACGTATTTTCTCCAATGCCTGTTTTGTTCTTTCAGAATTCCTCTAAATATAAATCTGCTTTTCACCATAGGGTAAGGCTACCAACAATACAATTCTAGAATTAAAACATGATCTTGCACCCTCAGAAGTAAGTAGCAGAAGTAAATTATGAAGAGCTGCTTCATGGCAGATGATGCTGTACTTTCCCTACTCTTCCTGCTGAGTGCAAGCTCACACTGCCAGTGAAACAAAGACAAATATGCAGAGGGGGGGAAATAGGCTAGACCTCTCAAAGCCTAAGGAATGGCACAGCAGTTCCCAGGTTTATTCTCTGCTTCATTTATCTGACACAGGGCTAAAAAGTCAGTACATGGAACAACAAGGAGAGACTTTAGACTTCTGCCCTTGAGAAGTAGAGTCGAGGCTGGAGGTGGATCAGCAGTGAAGAGCACCATCTGCTCTTGCAAGAGGACTTGGGTTCGGTTCCCAGCACATACATGGTAGCTAATACCCATCCTAACTTCAGTTCCAGAGGATCTGATGCCCTCTTCTGACCTCCACAGGCAGTGCACAACACAGGTGCACTCATACACACGTAGGCAGGACATTTATCCACATAAAACAATGCTGGGCATGGTGGCACATGCCTTTAATCCCAGCACTCGGGAGGCAGAGGCAGGCAGATCTTTGTTAGTTCAAGGCCAGTTTGGTTTACATGGAGAGTTCCAGGTCAGCTGGGGCTGCAGGGAGACCCTGTCTCAAAAAGACCAAATAATAATAATAATAATAAATAATTTTTTAAAACAAAGTAAAGGCCTACTGGGATGGTGTCATAATCTAAGACTTTTACCCTTTGTGTAACAAGCTCCTCCATCTTCCGTCTGTAATGCTGCCAGAGGGAGCCAAAGAGAAGTAGCTTTCACCATTTTCCAGCAGTAACAAGGAGACATCAATACAGGGAGACCAAGTGGAAGAAAAGCCCTAACATTCTGCCCAGCAGCAATGAGGAACTCCTATTCCTAGGTGTAGCAGAGCCTTCATATCTGAGTTCTATCTCCTGCAGTAGCAGAGATGGTGGTCCCTGCTTCCCTGGCCAGAGCAGAAAGCCAATTAAAAACAGAAAGCTTACATAAAATCTTAAGGATCATAATAATAATGTGCCCACATCCATTCAACTGATAATTATGAGAAAATAAAATTATCAAGAGACTCCGAGAAGCACAGGACAAAGACAATACGGCTAAGGGACTGAAGAAGTAATGACTGAAAAACTCTCCAAATCTGGTAACTGTGCTGGATAGCTTAGTGTCACCTTGACACACCTGGGTTGAGGGAGCCTCAACTGGGGAGTTTCCTCTATTGGACTGGCCTATGGCCATGTCTGAGGGGCATCTTCTTGATGAGTGATGTGGGAAGGCCCAGCCCACTGTGGGTGGTGCCACCCCTGGACAGGTGGGCCTGTGTTGCATAAGAAAGCAGGCTGAACAGGGGCTACCTTGGGCTCCCTGATGAACCCTGACCCACGAGATGAAAGATAAACCCTTTCCTCCCCAAGCTAGTGGTGGTCAGAGTGTTTTGTCACAGCAATAAAAAAACAAACAAGGACAGTAACTAAGCCTTCAGATTCAAGAATCTCTAAAACAGGACTAACCCAAAGGAAGTACCTAGATACTCCATAAACCTCTGAAAACTAAAGAAAATGGGAAAAAAAAAAAAAAAAGTTGAAAGTACCAGAGAAAAATACCTTATTTACAGAAGACTAAATACACAGAAATTTTCAGATGCTGAAAAAAAGAGAACCACTGGGGCTAGAGAGATGGCTCAGCGGTCAAGAACACTGGCTGAAGAAGACCCTGGTTCGAACCCTAGCACCCACATGGCAGCTAACTGTTAACTACAGTTCCAGGGGATTCAATGGCCTCTTCTGTCCTCCAAGGGCATTGCACGACACGGGTGCACTTACCTACATGCAGGTAATACACTCATACACATAAGATAAAAATGATAAATAAAATTTAGGAAAAAAGAACTGCTAACCCCAAGTTCTGACCCATAACAATAACCTTCAGGAAGGAGAGGGACACAAACATTCTCACACAATAGTCTCAATCTAATGCCAGCAGACCTACCCAAAAGAAACCTCCAAAGACATTCTCCATGGAGACAGATAGGACATAATAAAAGAAGAAAGTCTGGAACAGCTGAAGGAAGGAAAAAAAATGTGACAAACAAAATACAGGGCAGATGCTTGGGCATTCCTTCCCTTAGGTTTTCTAAATCATGATTGGCAGTTAAAAAATTACAGCCCCAAAATGATTCCAAATTAGCAAAAATATTTTCAACAATTACACTGTTAAGTGAAGACAAGCAAGACGATGTTAAAATGGTTAAGGTCTTTGTATTTTACTTGAAGTGATAAAGTAGTATCAGTATTCTGAAAGAATAGGCAAAGCAAACG